TCTCCCATTTGTCTCCCACTTGTCTCCCATTTGTCTCCCACTTGCTGTTTGGGGTCGAGGCTGGTACAATTATTTATCGAATTCGGTGCGTCAAAGCCAAGCTGAGACCCCGGCGACCCTCTAAGATGACCTGCGCAGCATTGCGCAGCAGCTGCTCGGCCTCCTCATAGCATCCCTGTTCCTGCCGTCTGACCAATGTGGTGGTTTGGATCCGATGGAGGCACAACCCTGACGACACATGTACCTGTGCATAAGAACTGCTACATGGCAGCAAGGGCCAGGGCCAGATACTACAGTATGTGAGGCTCACCCAACACTCCCACCAGCGCCTGCAGCAAACGCCCCAAGTTGTTCATCGATGACAGCATGTCTGGGTGCGTCTCGCCCAATGCGGTCCGGCCTCGAGAAATAATTTCAAAGGGCTGCCGAATAAAGAAACCTATGCAAAATGCACTTCAATCAGACGGTATGTGGTTCGCCGGCCATCCCTGCATTCATGATCTAAGCTTCCCCTTCCGGTGAAAGGCTTGGGCTTGAAATGGCTTGAACATGTGTTTTCACTACCTTGGCCATGCTTCGTCACGAGCAGCTCGGCTGAACGGTTTGAGCAGAGCTGCAGGCTGCAGGGTTGTACACTGGGAGGGTCTGGGAGGTATAAACCCATGTCGATACAAATACCATTCCATTGCGAAGCATGCATGGACGGAGAAACACACTGACGCAAGAAACCAACATTCGGTTGCCAAACACAACAAGCCTAACAAGCTACGCCTCTGCGATATAATGCAGGGACAGACAACAACAATATCTGGAAACATGGCAGCTGAGGCTGTGCATTGAGCCTCAACTTTGCAAGCTGCACTTAGACGTGCATGCGCACGAGACGAAGCCACGCAGAAGAAAGAGTATGCCCCCACTGTCATGAGACATAATGTAGCGTCGAAGCGGACAACAAACACTGCATCAAGCATGTGCTTCCCATGCTAACAACTGCTAACATAGAAATGGTGTGGCGGTTCGTTGCACACACTGTTGGATCGTACAGGGGCTCTGCATGCGGCCGATGCCGTAGGCACGTGGCCGACATGCATTTTTGGCAATGCACACACAACACAGTATGTCGAACACATGGTTGGGACACGGCCACGTGCACGCACGGGCAGTGGGGTGAAGCAACGCAAAGCGCCACACAGTCTCTGAGATGTCGGCAACTCTCCAGCTCTTCGCGGTAGAGCGATTCGGTCCCTGGGCCTGTCGCTTGTGCTTTGGGGATGCAATTTATGGCAATTAAGGTGTCAGGAAGTAACCAGCTTGAAGATTAAAGTGGCTATAGGCGACAAATAGTAACTATAGTAAGTAGTGGAGAGCAGAGTACAGGGCCCAAAAGCCCCACATCCACGATTCCCTCGAGCTGCAGCCCCCAAAACCTAATTGAGTCGTGACCCCAGCACCTTTGCCACATTGTTCATCGAATCCAGTGTCTCTGGATGTGTCTTGCCGAGCTTGGCACGGCCTCGGGATCTCAAGGCAAGTGCGTATACATGAAGGGAATCGTCATGTTAATCCGCTGCAGATGCTCCAAAGCCAGCTGAGACATCTGAGACGACGGCGGCCCTCCAATGATTTGCGGAGCAACTGCTCGGCCTCCTCGTAGCGTCCCTGTTCCTGTCGTCGTGCTAAGGTGGGGTTGGCTCCGATGCATACTGCCCTGCTCTTTATTCAGAGCCAGACTCCCATGAAGCCGGGTGTACATATGCACGAGGACCCAATGCTGCTCAAGCCAAAGATTAATGAGAGAAGTTCGTTTCGTTCCCTTCGCTCGGAGGCTCGCCCAACGCTCCCGCAAGCGCCTGCAGCAAATGCCCCAAACTGCTCAGCGATGTCAGTGTAGCTGGGTGCATCTCGAACAACTTGGCCCGGCCTCGAGAACAGTTGCAAAAGAATCCTGCTCAGAAAAAACACCATATGCGAGATGCGCTTCGCTCAGCCCGGATGTGAGCGGAAAGCCGATCATCTTCAGTCAAATTATAAGCTTCCAAATCGATTCAAGAGCTTCGTGCAAGTTAAGAGCTTAAGGTTTTACAGTCTGTTTTCGGCGCCACCTTGTTGCGAGCAGCTCGCCTGTTGGGGCTGCGTAGTTCTCACGGACTTTACGAGCTTCGTGGTCGTAGGGCAGATGGTCGGCAGTAAGAGACAAGTTCCAGCCGTTGTCCTGGTAGGCAAGGCAGCTGAGGACCCCCCGGCCCCCATCGCCACTTCAGGGCACCTCAACGGCAAGACAGGCCTAAACCCTAAAACCTAAACCTTATAAACCCTAAACCCTATAAACCCTATAACCTATAAACCCTGA